TATATATATATATATCATAGTTATATATAATTTATCTGAAAATAGTGGATAAGGTTTAATTAAAGCAAAAAATTAAAAGCGCGAGATCGAGAATAGTTTTAACTCCGAGAGAGAGAGCAACAATCTCTTTAAATATACTTGGAGTTAGAACTATTTTCGATCTCGCGCTTTGAATTTTTTGCTTTAATTATACCTTATCCACTATTTTCAGATTGAGAGCACGGAATAATACATACATGAATCGCTGAATCGAATAATTCAAGTAATGGCAAGACGTGATATATTGACTATTTAATGATAGTAGATATATTTCGTGAGATTTGTATCACATATTTTACGTGATTTATTCGATCGAAATCTATCGCGCGAATAGTAAGCAACGTATATCAGAGCGACAACGTGTTTTCAAGTATTAAATTGTACGAAACTTTAATTTTAATTCGCGTATTTATTCATACTTATATTATAATATAATATAACCATCCTAAAAGGAAAGTATATATTATTTGCTAAAATCTTCGAGGCGAGTAACGTGTGAATTTAGTTACGTAATTTTCAGATATTTAGCGGATCGTAATGTTTGTGCAATCGTAGTTTCCGCGTAGTTTCCGCATCGCTCTTCCATCGCAATATAATAAAATTTGCGTCGTACGCGATCAATATTGGGATTGCCGTGCAAAGTACCATGCAACATCGTATTCTGCTAATTAGTGTGCGCGAGATCGTAATTAACCATGTTTTCGTGAATAAATGTCATATAAGTTTCATAAAGGAGCAGCGAAAGTGAATAACAGAGAAAGAGAAGCTCTGAGGAACAATTGCTGGAGGTGTGTGTGTGTGTGTGTGTGTGTGCGTGTGTGTGCGTGTGTGTGCGTGTGTGTGTGTGCGTGTAAGAACAATATATAATTTATTTAGTTCATTAGTTGTCAAATTAATTATTTTTTCAGTATCTCCGCAAAATATTTTATTAATATTAATATTAATTTTAATATTAATATTATATTATATTTCACAAAAACCAATTTCCTAATTTTATAGTCTATTCATATTCATTGATAATTTGATTACAAAACTTGAAACAAACTAAAATGATATAAGAGTCAATAATATAATAATATTAGTTAAAATATCGAATTAAACGGAATTCTTTCATATATTGATATTTCAATTTCTTTTAACGCGAGATATCCTAAGATATGCAATAATAATTTTTATTTTTAAACATAAAAGAAAACTGACTTCTCGTAAAAAAATTTGAATAAATACATACGAGATCTGCTTAGAAAATATGGAAGATCGCGAAGATGTTATAACTGCCATCTGTATCATAGTGATAGAGCAGCACAGCCACAAAATTGGGAGAAAAATATCCCACCGCTATCCGCGGAATTTCCTTTGGGAGAATTAAGATGAGCTAAGTGCCGCATAGTAGCTGCACATGAGAAAGGAGATGGGAACACCGACAAGATCTCTTCATAAAACAATGTAGAGCACTTGAATTTTAGAAGGCAACGTAACATCGCATACGTTGAAAATGTTATGTTCATTCGTTTATGTATATATATTCGTACCCGTATGCTATTTACAAAATGATTTTGAAAAGATTTTAACAATAAAATATTATTCTTTCGTATATATTATTAAGATTATAAAATAATATCATAAAAATTTATATACAAATGAAATTTTAGAATATTAAACAGAAAAATTTATATCGATATGCAATAAAATTATGTTGAATATTCTTGAAAGATAAGAACATATAACTTACCTTAAGAGTATTTTGTAAATTTTGTACCCTGCAGTGCATGTAAACTTCAGTACCAAGCTGTACGGTAATGTTGCTTTCGGGATCCTCGAAAAACGGCCTCGGTTCAGGAGTACCGCCTGTTTCAGTCACGAAACTCTCCACCTCATACACCTACAATAAAAAATGCACTGAAATCTGCATCTGCGCGCTTTCTATTATTTAACATGTTTGTAATATAATTAAGGAAACTACAGTTTGCTTTTAAAGCGACACGAACTACGTGTATAGTTGTAACCACTACGTAGTTAATTCTAAATACACATAATGCTTCATGCAAAATTCAGTAAACGGTGAATACGAAATGTTCGAACGTTCGCCGTACGAGCGTGTCGTGTATTTATCGTTTCAACGATTAATATATAAAAACAATTCGAATTGCAAATATTTTGATAACACGAATAAATTTATTTATATTAATAAATACCCATTTTATGGCGAGAATTATTTGAAAGATATAATAAAAGGATAATATATTAAATATAAAAAATATATTAGTATGCTATTATAGTCGTTTATTTTTTAAATATAATTTCAATAATCTTGTTAAGATCAGTGCATTATATTCATATCTTATTGGAATATATATTCCAAAAACAAACTAATATTGTTTTAAAAAATAAATGATATACAACGTTGGAAATAAAATGAGATTTTCTTCAGAGAGAATTTAAATATTATACATTGAGCTAACTTAAACACACATACACAACTCGGAAAGTCTGACAATAAAAGCGACTTACCTCTGTGAAAGGTGAACTAAGTTCATGCCAAATCGAGCGTGGTAAGTTTTCAAATCCTGGAAATGGCTTCGCACCTGCAACAAAATTTAAAAAAAAAATTTTTTTAATATTAATTTTTATAAATAGCATATATTTTATACGACAACAAAGTATTCCAGGATTAATGCCATATAATTTATCTTGGGATTCTATGATCAATTTATATGATTAAATTTTTTCGTATTTAATGGATCCAATATTTTAAAATACAAAAATAAAAATCAAGAAAAGCTGCAAAAAAGATAGCAAAAATTTCAAATATCAAGGCGGAAGTCCAATCGTAAACGGATAAAGCAAGACGACAAATGTCACAAATCAATATGCAGAGAAAAATTTAAATTTGTGTGTGATGAAAAAAAGATTAAATTTCTGACAAAAGTTTCCGAGTTATTTTCGTTTAAAGTATTGTAGTTTCTTAAATTCAAGCAAATTGTAATTTCTTTTTATAAAACGTTTCGCTCTTTAATACTGACGTGCATGTTTTTAGAAACAGTTAGGTTTTTTGTCTGCCAGATTGATTCTTTGTAGATATTTCTACCGTATGCGTTTTTCGCAGCATGAGCTAATAGAACGAACCCTTAGTGTCCATTGCATCTCTTGGTGCTAGTCTTTACGTTCTAAAGGAAAACAGGCCATAGCACATTGAATGATTATGTTGGGTGAAAAATCCCCTGGTATATCCATTAATTGCTTGGTGTTGACACATGATTACGCGTTTATTTCTCACCGCGTCAAAAATGAATCAGAGCGAGATAATGTTGGCTTTAATTATCGTGTTTACTAAATTATAATTTTTTCTTACAGTCATGCATAGATGTTCTTTTTTCATTAACAAAAATTTATGTTTCAGTAGAAAAACAAAGAAAAAGAAACGGACTAAGCAAAAAAAGTTTTTTTACTATTTCTCTCTACATTTCTTTTTCTTTTTCTCTTCTTCGCTCTGATATATGATTAATTATTGTTCTTACATTTTACACAGATACCATTTTTTGGTCGAATACAGAATCAAAAACTTAAAAAAATGGAAACATTTTCATTTTCATTCTAAAACATAAAATCTTCGAAAGATTAAGTTTACACTTGAAAAAATAATACAGTTTGTGCATGATATCGAAAAAAATTTCACTTTCCACTCTGATGCAACGCATGACGAAGCGAATCCCTTTACTTGCTGACACGTTGAATGGTCTTATCAGCGGGAAGCACACGCGACTATGTATATCTTCCTGAGATAGTATGCGCGAATATATTCTCTTATGAAGCTGCGTAACCAATGGCAAATTTCTCAATATGCCGTACGTTTCAGAAACATGGAAAGATTATAATAAACTAATAAAAAAGATATTTATATAATAGATTAATAGATTATTTATAAAAAGATTAAACAAGAAATACCATTTTATTAAAATATTTTATTTATAATGCGACACACAGAATAAAAAAAAATCGCCAAAATTCACCAAAATCTAAAATCAATTTACAACAACGTACATATGTTTTTTCATTTAAATGCAAAAGTGCAAAATAATTCTGACGCGCTAGAACGCATACAAAACCATGTTTGTTTTTATTATGTTGCACTGTATAAATATTTTTGCGAAAATTTAGATAGACGTATTTGACAAAAGTAAACGTCCTGTTACGAGATACGTTGCAAACAACGGTCGTATTACTGTGTATATCTAGCGAAATAGAAATTACCCGTAATATACAAAAAAGTAAAAAATTTGCATAGAAAAGAACGTCTATTCTGAAAGTTTAACAAATATAAATGAAAATGCACAAAAATAAAAATTTGAAAATAAAAATTTATTAGAAATTAGCTAAGATTTAATTATATAATGGGCAATATGACATGGCAAAGATAAAGTGATAATACGATAATGTTATACGTTACATTTCAACGCTATTCGGCAGAATTTCCGCAGCCGCGGAATCATCTTCCCTATTCTCGCGCGCGATCGAAGACACCAGGCGTCTTATAAGCATAGCTTTACATAGCTTGGCACAGTATGCGCGCAGATCGAACAGAAAGAGGTAATAAAGCCAGTTTCCCAGCGACGTCGTCGTTTTTTGAAACGATGAAACCGGGAAACCGTGCAATCTCGTCTCTTATAAAGCCCGCGCCGCTGGAAGAGACAAGCGAGAAGTGTAGAAAAATAAAGAAAACCGCGATAGAATTCGGGAAGACCACGCAGGGGAAAATGGCAATATCTCTCTCCATCAAACTCGACGATTCTCAAATGGTCCTGGCTCTCTTCGCGACCGGCTGCTTCGCACGAAATCGGTTCGACAGACAGAGGGACTTTACCGGGGCCTTTTCTCATTTCCACAAGGATCCGAGAAATCTCGACTATGTGAAAGATGCACTTTGAAATTATTTTCTCAGCTGATCGCCCTCGCACGCGACGAGCAGTCTTCCTTTCACCTTGCCTTGACGAATTGCCTAGCTTTCCCCCCTGTTTCTCCATCTTCGTTCCTCAAGGTCTCGACCTAACTATTTCTTATAGAACGATGGGATAATCCTTGAGAGATATATCAGCTCCGGTAACTGCAGAAGGGCCCTCTCCCCACGCTTACACCAATCTAACAAGTTGAATTCTCTCGCTGCAGAGAAACGCTCCGAAAAAGGAATGAGACGAACGGACTTCTAATATCCGCTAGAAAGACGAGGCACATAATCTCTACGGCAGAGATAAACTCTGGCGAGGATTTCGAAATACGCTTTAGATACTTTAGAAGACGCGATTTACGTCTCGACGCAAAAAGTAGCGTGTGTATGAAAGAAACGGTGAATGATTTAAGGATTTGCGTGAAAATTCATATAAATCTTGAAAGAACAACGTTCACGATGCGAACACAAAGAAAGTTAAAATCAAATTATAATTAAATATAGTTAAATATGCAAAAATATAGATTCGTCAAACAGCGAGTTGGGAATGTTGACGATAAAATTGGCTCGCATACGTATTTTTGTATAATATGTACATTAAAAATAAGGACAAGCATTTTTCGACGAATTCTCTCAAGTTGCTCTGTTGTAATATATTTTCGCGCTACAGAGACAGCGAGCACTCGCGCCCAGATCCAATACATTCCGGAAGTGCCCTATATTATTTCTGCCAAAGGAAAACAGACTTTCGTACCGTTCAGAAGTATCGTGACCAATTGCACGATTCTCGTCGTTCTTCTTTCCCTTCAATTTCAGCATTTCAACTAACCGTTGTAAAAGCCGCCTCGAATCTAAAAGTACGTCGGTTCGATCGCGGTTTGTCGTACGGTACGGCGTCAAATTTATGGAAGCCGTCCGTGCTCATGGATTTATGAGAATCCAATGCCTTAATTGGAAAATTATAGGACAATGTCTGGATATCGATCGTTCAGCTCTCATGGCTCGTTATTCAGCGAATATAATCTGATTTTCCCTTTTCCGGCAATTGCGCCTGAATATTTTTCACTGATAAAGAACTGACTATCCTCAAGCAAAAACAACGGTGTAAGAATATCGTGCACATGCATTAAATTCACTTTTTAATATTTCACATTTTTAATCCTCAATTTTATTAGCTTTACATTTGTACCCATACTGCACGTACTGTAGCAATTATTTATTCAATGATAAAAATTATTATTGTTATCTCCTCTCTATATTATAAATATTTTTTTAAAACTTACCCAAAGTATTGGCGGTGCACAGGAAACGTATCTGGTGAACCAAAATGGAGGCCACCACGGCCGAAAGACAACTCAACATCGTAGTCAATCCTCAACTCATCTCTATTCTCAAAGTTGTTAAGCACTGGTACTACTGCAAACACAAGAAACAAATGTTTGCTTAATTTAACATCATCATTTTAATGAAAATGTTGTGCGGAACAGATAAATCATAAACGCAATGCACGCAACAATCTCATATTAGCTGAATTAATCATCGTCGCCTTGTATTGTATTACAAAAATATGAATGCGTAAACGGCAGGATCGAGCATGTAGTAATTAACACAGACACGGAGTAAGAGCGTCAAACATCAGTAAATATCGGTCTGCTTGAACATCATATGCTCCTGCCAAATCAAACGATTCCCTCCGGACGCCTTGTGAAGCCAACTTCCTATTTTCTGCTTCTGTTCTACTTGAGTTTGCAATACACAGAACATTTCACGATAGAGAAATCAATGCCATACACGTGTAAGCTATACGATAGAGAATCGCACCTTTTCGAACGGGCTACAATATGAAACTTCAGACGTGCCACGTGAAATTGAAATTGTACAAAAGGCACAGCGGCAAATCTAAGCGAAATGTATGTAAATTTTTTTTAATCGGACTGTGTAAATATACGAAAGTGGGACAAATTTAAAAATCCACAGGGATGCTTTAACTAGGGAACATTTTTACGCGAAAACGAGGACATCTGGAAATTCTAAGATAATTTAATCCAAAAATATGCGCCGTAACTTCTGAATAATGCATTCGTGCATTGTTATTAATAACATTATAAATGCATTGCATAGGTTACACTGTGTATGTATTTTCTTATCAATTAACATGTTATACTTTAAAAGAGACAATTTGGAACACAATCTAATAATACCTCGTATTATTATACTACACATCATAAATCAATCTGATACATGGAAATATCGTAATACATGTATTCTTCTGCTTTTTATTAGATATAGATATTTCACATACATATAAACCAAACTCGATTATTTCACTTGGAAATACTGTCAATAATGCATTCGCGAAAATTTACTAACAAGAAGTTATCCTCCGGCATTGGTATGGCTCCTGCGTCGCGATCTTCTCAATCTACACCGTGATCGAGTTATATGCTGAAGAAGCTCGAACCTGTTCAATGAGAGAAATGAAATCGTCAGGTCCGACGGTTACGAGGACGCGCAGAGATCCCAAGTACGAAGTAAATCAACCGGTCGCTCGAAGTCAAACAGAAGATTGTTACCGCGAAATTCCGCGTGATTCAATTTGGCCGGAAATTCGGGGTGGAAAACATGGTGCGCGTCTCGACAGTCGGCCCGGTTTCCACGAGAGAACCATCCCCCCGGTTTCGCTCTAACGAATCTATCGACAAGAGTTTGGAGTTTCTCCACATCCCGTGGCAGCTCTTTCACCGGCTTTCACCTTCCACGTATAGCATTCTCCCTCTTTTCCGATCCGCTTCGTGCCAGCAAAGGACAAGGGGTCTTTGTGCTCCCTCCTCCTTGCGATCTCGCCTCGCCCGTGGAACTAAGAAGGGACAAGCAATTTTTAGTTTTCCTACGCGGTAACCGAAGATCTGTCGTTTACTCGCAAGTTTCGAATTATTTCACCATCTGGCGCAGGTGTCGGCGTTGATAACGAGTTGCGGCGCCGAATAAAAGTCTCTCGTATCTCTCCAACTGTTCTCGCACTGTTTGAACTAGACAAACTACGAAACGGCGTACAAATCAACGAGACAGCGCGAATCGGGGAGATGACCGTGGGAGAAATTCGGTAACCGGAAAACGGAAAGTAAATGCTGTCGCGTCGCTGAAAAACGAGGTGGATGCGTCAGCAAAACTAGTCAGGGGGATGAGAGAAGTATTTTTCTAATTCAATTACTTAGCCAAATTAAGAATATTCTTTATGTCGTATATTTTTATTTTTCTCATGGGTCAATTAATGCTGAAAAATCGCATAGGTGATATCCGGCAACAATCATAAATTGCTTACAAGACCTACACAGGTATTCGAAAATTCGATCGCAGTCGAATCCGATCTATTCCGATACGGTCTGCTCAGCATCCTTGTCCGCGAACCGATAAACAAGTCCTCACCTAGGCGGTGAGGTTTGCACAAATAGTATGGTGTGACGCGTACTTTATGGTTGTGTAGAACATGCCCTCGGTACGTTGTAACGTACTTGTTCCGCGCGCTTGTTACCGATAACTAATGTTCTATCCGCCCATTCGATAGCGCGATTCCGGCCGATTGGCAGGGAAAGACTGCTAGACCAGAAAGAGATCGAGCGATTGAGCAAATTACGACACGTAGATTGCGAGCACCACCGGGGGCTAGAAACGATCAGTATGCTATCGCGGCATCGCTAGGCGAAATGTGAACGAAGCGCTCAAATTTTCTCGTTTTCCACTCGGCGTGGACGAGCGTGCAATCGAGATGATCGCTACAAACCGATCCGGACCAAACGGAAGTAACGCAACACGTAAATACTTCAAATTCTTTCAATCCGTATCCATAGAGTTTCTTGTGTTAATATTTTTGTATCGTGTACAAAATATAAAGCTACGAAAATTCTAGTACTAACAATCGAGACAGTGATAAGTTTCCCGTGTATCGTGACAAAAAAAAATATTTTATCTAATAACAAACAACACACACACGTTTAGATTTTTATTTCGAATAACTTTTTCTTTGCTGTAATATTCTATATTATGTTAATTATAACGGAAGTGTATAACTTTCGTATTTACGTGTTTTATGTTACAATTTAATTTTATTAAGAGTGCAAGTTCGGAACTTTATTAAGACATGCAAGTAATCAATCGATCGCGAGAATTATCTGATAACAGCGATGCTATGAGGTAACTTAGCAAACAAGAGTTCGCGAGCGCTTCCTTGGATCATCCTAAACTAACGGTAACCAACTTCCTGCACTTAACTTTTCAATATAATCTATCGCGTATACGCAAAATACTTGTTTGAAAATAATATTAAATATTGATTATATTTCATAATACACGTTGATTCACATATGAAAAAACGAAAATTCAAGTGAAAATCAGTAAGGAAAATAAAAAATTGCGACGTCTAATCATAGACAATCGCAGTGATTGTTCCCTTTTCAGTAGCCTATCGTAAAGCGATCGATTTTGGCAATACGACGTTCCGCAATCGCAACTTCAGCCAATGTTTGCTCAATAAACCTCGTGAAAGCCGACGAACCAAATTCCCTGTTAACCCGTTAGCCCTCGATCTGGAAGTTATTAATCGTGCTGATTGCAGAAGTTCAATACAAACTAACCAGATCAAATTGCGGACTACATTTTTAAAGTACAAACATATATAAAAAATAAAATGTGCATTAGCGTTTTAAAATCGACATATAAAGTATTAATATGCAGCAAATTTACACACAGCATATATAGGGGAAAGTAAGGTAAAACCGATATTTTTTTGGATTTGTCTTCCTATAAAAAATCAGAGAGTAAAAAAAGTTCTGCTGACCGTTAGCAGTCTTTAGTGGACCTTACACTATGAGAAAATGAAGTTAGTTGCTGAAAAAAAAATATTTGGTTACCAAGGATAACAAGATTTTTTTGAGAAGTTAAAATACCCGGTTTTGCCCCATCGGTAGGGTAAAACCGGGTAACCATTTGAAAACATGTAAAACACCGTACAATTACAAAATCTAGATCTATATTAATCAAAATACAATACAAAGTATGTATTCTATTGACAACAATCACAAATAAAGATATCCTCTTGTTCTACATTGCTGCAGGACTTTCATATTTAATTTTTTAACTTTAGAGGTCTTAAAAAGCTTTTTTTAGTGGTTTCTTTTTCTAAGTGGTAGTTTTCGTTTCCAAATACTTTTTGGAGAGAGGGAGATAAAGTCAAGATAACAGTTTTTCCTCTTTTCATATTACATGAGGTGTGTAGCTACCCGGTTTTGCCCTAAAACAAAGAAAATAACAAACACGATGACTGTATATTCCGGCGTACAAAGTGACGATGAAAACTAATGCGATATACTTTAATATGTACAGAATGCAATGCTGCATTTACCGAAGCAGATGCTGTATGTAGAAAAAGTCCTTAACGACTCGATTGTTGCTCCAATATCGATCTTTTTTGGCCCGACAATTTTGAACTTCTCTCAAAAAAGAAATATCGTGTGCACGCGGGCACGGTTTATCTCAAAATAATGATGGCATCAATCTACAACTAATAACACGAGATAGCCAAAGATAGTAGCACTTATCACGAAGAAACAGAGGTATCTGGTTTGACCCGCCTGGTTTTACTCTACTTTCCCCTATATCATATCTTATATATCAAAATTAATTTCCATGTTCAAGTAACTAAAATTGAACCTTATCTCGCAAATATCATAGCTTATTTTGCGAATTAATTTATTCGTACAAATAATCATATTGTCGTGTCGCGCAATAAGTTCTGATAAAAGGGGAAAAAAAAGACGAAAAAGGGGCGCGTCGGATCGATAGAGAGAGTTTGAAGACAGGTCGGAGTTGGATAAAAATTTCCTCAGATTGCAACACGCTGTTTACTGATGACGCTTTGATGTCGAAATGACAACAATCAAGTAGCCGCGGCTACAATGACCATACTATGATAAAAGCGACAGTGGCATGTCGTGGTTAGGACAACAGCGGCTACGTTTATATCACATAGCCACACTCGCGCCGATAATGGCATAGCAGATCGCATGAAGATTTGTATAAAATTCATGTAAAAGAGAATATTATTAAAAATGAAAAGTTTTTCATATTACTACTATTGTTGCACACAAGAGATTGTAGAAGATATAAGTGATGATTGTGCAATTTGGTCGCGTTAGACGCATTGATACGATTTTACTTCCGCATCCGTAAGACGCTCATGCGAATTTATAGCGGTACTTTACCTCGGGAACTTTTACAATGATCGTTTCTAACGTGACTTTGACGATACATTACAGGGCACGGTAGCGTGTAACACTAGAATCAACAAAATGCATATACGCGCGTTATGTACTACGGCAATATCCTACCGTTGAGCGCATTGCAAAAGCGGTCCCTTCTCC